GGCATCAGTCTTAGGGAAGACTGCAAAGTGAATAACCTGTGAACCAGGAAGACAACAATATTTCAGTTTGTTTTTCAGCTAGTAAATCATTATTGGAGTTAGACTAGCATTGCTAACCTGGTGCCTTCTGGATATGTTGTAATATCAGCTGTGGATGATGGGAGTTGCACTACAACAGATTTGGAAATTACCAGGTTTGGGGAACACTGTTTTAGATAAAATGCTACCTCTCAGCTCTCCATAATGCTGGCCTACCTTACAGGCCTGTAGTGAGTATCATGGATCATAATGTATATGAGATGTTTTCAACAATCAAAAGCACTGTATAAATTAATGGCTTAAAAGCACATTCTAATATTACTGTAGCTCAGACATAGAAATGTAGAGGGCTGCTATTATAAAGGAATCTAGATTTACAGAAATTTCGTATCATATATTTTCTCTCCAAAGTGGCTTGTTAAAAAGAAATGTAGTATGGTGGTAAGCACTAGATTTTACTGGAAGGCCATCAAAAGAGTCAGTTTTCTCTCTTTTTCCATAGCTCACTTGGCACTTCAGTAACACTCACAGCTGGGTAAAGTTAAAAGTTTAAACAGGTACCTGTTCCCAAGTAGCTTATACTAGGGCTGTTAGCAAGACACCCCATATGCTTATTTAACCCACAGAAAGGCTGTGGCACATACAGAGCATGAGCAGCCACTATTTTGAATATGCAATCCCCATTTGGTATTGTTGTATTGTATGAATCTGATGAGTGTTGTTTATGAGAAGGCTAAACAACATTTCCGTAATTCATGGCTGAGCTTGCAGGTCTTAACCACCTGGCAAATAAGTCAAGCAGGACAGGCTGTTTATGAAACAGCTCAGTGTACAGGGCAGACATTCATGCTCACCATGGGCCATTCCCTCTCACTGAATCATAGAATAGTAGAGTTGCAAGAGGACAGAAGGCCATTGGATTCAACCTTCTGCTCAGTGCAGGACCCCAAGTTAAACCATCCTTCTCAGACAACTGTCCAGCTGCATCTTGAATGCCTCTAGTGTGGTAGAGCCCACCATCTCCCTAGGTAATTAGTTGCATCATCACATTGCAATTTATTTTAATGCATTTCTTCCCATGTCCTACTTTTTAATGGCTTAAAAGCACATTCATTTGCTTGGCTCTAGCCAGAAACAGTAATCCACACACATACAGAGTTTTCCATGTAGGAAATGAGAAAACAACACAAGACATCATTCCATAGCAAGCAACCTGCTAGTGCCTCAGCGTATCTTTTAGGGTAAGTACTTATATTAGTGGCAGTACAGTTCCGCAACACAGGATGCACACACATGCACATTGTGCCAAACCATGGGAACAGTAAGCAATCCAGGAAACTCACTCTGGTGGGGAAATTGGTAAGGAATTTCCTCACCAGTTCAGCCTGTAAAAAGACTTGTGAATGACTCATATTTCCAAAGTAGGGCAATCTCTTGGTTTGAGACTCACCACCTGTGACTTCCAAATGCTATTTCCATGAACTAGAACAGCAGGTGGTGCTGTTTGATTATTGAAGATTTTAAACTCCACAGTATTCTGAAAGACTCAGAGGCACTCTATCCCCAAAACAACATTTTTATTAAAATAATTATTATAATTTCATGCTCTTGTAATAGCTCAAACTCACTGCTCTGCGACATCCTCATTGTGGGTTTCTGGGTTCCAATAGGTGCACCAGGGCTGTTTTCACCTGTTATCTGCATGAGGTCATTGATGATGGCTTGTTTGTCAACCGATCCTGCTGAAGCACCTGGTCGTGTGTCTGGGAAAAGCTGCGACAATTGGCTATTCTGTAGATCATCTAAAATTTCTTCCAAGTTATCTAGCTCACTGCCAGGCTTTAATAAAAGGGGGTGGGGGGACAAAATGTTTTGTTATATGAGGACAAGCTCAAGACATTGCAAATGCCTGAAAATGACATTATCACCTATAACATCCAACACATCTTTCATTGGTTGGGATGTCTGGTATTACTCCAACAAAGAAAACAGTCTAGTGTGTTCTGTTCTGATGAATAGGAAGCACTGGTTCTGCGTGCAGCCAGAGACCTCAAGCTTTCCTATCACTATGCCTTCTGGAAGCACAGAGCAGACCAATTAAAGCTCAGTTTTAACAGAGAACTGGTAATATTCACTCCCTGCAGCCTAGCCATGAGTTGGCACAGAGATATCTCCAAGGACTGCAATGGATACAGATTTCCATGAATTTAACAAAGAATCTTTGTTTGGCAGAAATCAGCTCTCTGTCATTATTGTGATTCTGCTTGTTTATGACTGTACTAAAACATTCTATAAAATAGTTACTTCCACACTGCGCATACCACTTTGCATCTTTCCAGAGCATTTCATCATTGGCAGAAAAGTACATAACAATTTAAAAAGAAAGAAACCCTCCCACAGAGGTTATGTCCATGTAATATGGAAGTGCGAATACAGCTTGTATCTAGTTTGCAGGAATGTAAAAATTCCCTACTTACATGAAATTAGTGGTTTGATGATCAGAGAAATTTGTCAAGCAAAGCACATGACACAGAATAAAGGAAATGAAAACCCTTCTGAGGGATGAGGAAATTCAAAAATTATTCAGAAAATTAAAGCTGGTCAAGACTATCATGTATGTAAAGGGGCGGCATAGAAATGTTCTAATAATAAAAAAATAAAGGTAGGGGATTTAAAATATAGAGAAATCATATAATTCCTCTATACTGTTCAATTCAAGACAAATAGGCAGCAATCCAATAAAAGGCTCCATGGCAACCAATTCAGATTATTCCATAATTTTGCATACTGGCCATGGATGATCGTAGGCATTCATCTTAAAATGGGACAGGGAGCAGTGGCTTTCAAAATCTGGCATAAATAGTTACCAGAGTGCTTCAAGCATAATTTTGCTCTTTGAAGTACCAATAGAACCCTCAGCAAGACACTTACAATGCCCACAAGGATGCAATTTTGAGGTGAAAAATAATTTTGGGACTTCATATATTTGTAAACCAAAAGGATTCTACAGAACTTGGGTAGAAACAAAAAGAATCCATTACTTCACATTCCCTGAAATATCACTATATTCCAAATTTATTGAATCCACTGGCATTTGACAACAGGGATGAAAAAGATAAAAAGAAACACTTAGTCTTCATTGAATTTTCTTTCTTCAGACCCTAACATGTGGAAGTTAAGAGGCTCACATGCATGCATACATTATCAGTGGCAGTATATCCTGGTTAGGACTAAGATGATTTATGGCCTTCCTACAATGAAATGTTGGAGGTGTTTCATGAAGACAGTTGACTTTTTGTATATTTGGTAAGACTGTCCCAAAACTTTTTAAAATTTGGAGAGTTGACTTAGTAAGACATTTATGAATTTTTTTGGAATTGAATTTTCACCATTCAGCAAAAATGAAATTCTTTTTAGACATGAAAGGTCAGTTACAAAAATACTAATTAATAAACAAATATACTTATAGAGGCTTGAATGTTAATAGCAACTCTATAAAAACATGCTCTTCAAAAGAATGGTTTCAGAAACGATGGGATATAATGATCTGGAATAAGGTGACTTTAAACAGACGCAATGCCTAACACTGTTATGGCACAATCCTATGCTCTGTATCCTGGCACTGAACACGTCAGGATCCTATTGCTGAAATGTGCTCCAAGGAAGGAGGTGGGGCTCTGGACTGAGCACTCTGCCCTTGTAGCCAGTTGGGTTCTTTCTGTGCCAGGTGTGGCACTGAGGTTAAAATGTCATATACTGGTGGCATCTCAGCCTTTCCTCCTCATACATCAGTGCAAAAAACTTAGCCAAAATAGTCTTCTGTGGGGCATGCGAACCACAAATACATCCTTCACTTCCATGTTCTTTCCATGTTTCATTGGATGCCTGTAATCTTCAGAGTTTGGAACATCACAGGCAGCCATACTGGAAGATGTTTTTAGTAACTTGAAACTCTCTCTCCCACCACCACCTTACACAAAATAGTGTTAAAGTCCAAGTGTTATGTTTTCTGGAAACCTGCTTTTGTTTTACGCAATGAACCGCTGATGAAATACCTTGAGCGTTTTAAGGACTGTATTTTTCTTTTTTCCATTAATATAATTATATACTACTGTATGAAGCTATTGGAGCTTATATAATTATTTTGTCTATGTAGTATATGTTTATACTATATGTTTACACATATACTACAGTATATGCTTTTCAAGTTCTTATCATTTATATATTTTAATCTTTGTTATGTTGCTACAGAAAACAGGCAAAAACAATAAAAATGAATAAATTGAAAATAATTACCCATAAATCTTTTTAAAAAGATACAATTCTAGGCAAATATAATTCTTATATATTACATATAGACACATATACAGAAGCAACTTTGGATATTAAAGGGGCTGTCCAAAATGGCCTGTAACAGGGGCCAGCTGTCAATTGTTGCCTGCTTATGGCCCCCTGCAGCTTATTCCAGAACTTTACTGGGAAAGCAGGACAAGTTGGCATATAGAAGGTCATTCCATGGTTCAGTTTCCTGTTTAAAGGCTCTCAGGCATAAAGACCTTGAAGACAGCTGCTATTAGTCAAAGTAGCTGTTACTAGGTTAGATAGACCAATGGTCTTATACAAGATAAACAGAATGAATCAACTTCCATCTGCTCTTTACCTGGCAGAAGTTCAAAACAGATAGATAGGCATGAACTTAAAACCCCAAAAAACTCTCAAGCAAGCTAATTCAGGAAAGTTGAAATTCTTCCTCCAACTGATGTAAATACTCAGTTTTATGAAGAACATGATTTTAAAATGATTAAGACACATTTTTACTGCCTCAGCACACAGATCCTTTTTCAGGGAGTATTTGTTAGGACTTCAAGATCTTTCCTAGGCGATTCCTGTCAATTCAGACATAAAATGTACAACACATTTATGCTGACAGCTAATTGAATATCTTTTGCCATTCTTCAGTCCAGTTATCTAGCCTAACCCTAACCCTAACCTTAACCCTCGGGAGCTAAGGATTTTATTACTTTGAATAAATTTGGGCATGACAAATGGAACCTGGTGCAGTTCTGTTGCCAAAGATGGCAGACTACTGTTATCTCAAAGCTATGACCAGCCATATTGTTTGGGCAAACTGACCTGCTTTCTTTTCCACTCCTACCAGTGCCAAGTTGAGGGGAATGCAAATAGGGAAATGCACAGCATGAATATGTAGCAACATGAATCATTTTGCTTAAATGTTATTTGGAGAATTTAATACAGTACTGCCATTGTAATCATTATTCATTGCATTATTTACACTATTTAAAATACATAAAAATACATGTATTTAAATACATTTAAAATAAAATACATTATTTATTTTCAGGGCTTCATTGTAGATCTGACTAATGAGAGGAGTGTACCCATTGCAGGGGCTATGACAATTCTTCCTCAGAATTTCTTCAATATTTCCAATTAATTCTTTGTTGCTAATGGTAGTATTTTTACTTAGGGATGTCCATTTTAAACATTATAATCTAGAATGACCCAGACAAGCAAAATCTCTGCAAATAACTTAGGAAGAAAATGCACATGCGTGCATGTGTGTAAGTGCGCGCGTGCGCGCACACACACACACACACACAGAGGAAAAGCTCAAGCACAGCATTTTTTAAATGAGTTGGCCCACTGCTGTGGTAGCACAGGACTCCTTTATAATTAGGTAAGATTTTTTAAAAGTCAGAATAAAAGGAGTGCTCAAGCCTTGTGTATCTACACACCAGACTACTTTGAAACTGTAGGGAAGAAATATCCCAGACAATATGAGCATTATTACCTCCCACAGCAACACTGATTACAAACATATGTTTAAAAAAGTAGCTTCAGAATGCATGTATTAAGCAGTGTCAGAAGAAAGAGAAGGATATCGAAGTTATAGAAATTATTTAAATAGTTTAAACAATTTACAAATCATTAGTCTGGGCTCAATTTTGTGGGTTTGGAAGATGACTATTTAAATATGTTACCTTAAATATGCTACCTGGAATAATGCTATTTTTGGTACTGGGGCAACTTCAAAGTGTTTTCTGTTAAAAAAAAAGTTATACTTGAAAGGGGAATGTTATTTTTTCCCCCGTCAAACTCCTCCTTATAAAATATTTACTCCACCAAGGCACTGCTATATTTGCAGTTAAACATGTACAAACTGAAATTAGCAATTATTTTAAACACACGCCACTTGAGAAGGGAAACTTAAATAATCCTACTGCAAAACAAAAACATTATAGCCTTTGTTCTAGAAGAAAAGAGAAGATGAGACAAAAACAGAGAAAAGGCAGAACAGTTTAAAATATTCACTGTTCTCGCATTATTAAATCATTTTAAGCTTTGATCTATATTTAGGTTGTATTTCCTGTAGGAAGCAAGATTATTGTTTATCGACCATGATTCGTTCACTTTCTCACTCTAGAGTTTATGTTGTATGATGCATAGAAGCATCCATATAATTTAAGTGTATATAGGAATCTAAGTCACTTTATGCTGGTTTACCAGCAAACTTTTTCAAACAGATTCTTTTCCCCACTACTTAATTCATTTTTTTACCATTCCTAAAGTTGCCTTCCAAAACCCACCCCACAATACTTAAATATCAGGCACTGAATTTCATTCTAGTCTGTTTCTATAAATGAACATCATCCCATTTCCTACATTTCCTCCCTATCCCCACTGATGTACCAACAGCTAGGCTATAACCAGCTGGCAAGTACAAGAACAGGTCTTTCAGTCAGCCAGTCTTGGAAATAAAAGCCAGGCAAACAGGTCCAACCAGATATGAAATCAAGTATAGCGCCTGCTTACCAGTTGTTCATGGGGCAAAAAAAGAAAAAAGAAAAAAAAAAGGCACCCTGCGTAAGAGGTTGGCATCACAGATATAGAACAAGAAATGGTGTATCCATGCCTGACAGAATGAATTTGCTGAAGAATGAAAAGGATTTCTCTTACCTGGTCATTTGACTCAAAGCGCATTTCTTCTTTCTCTGTCTTCATAACTACTGGCTTTGTGCTACTGGAAGGGTCTGTCTTACTGTCCGACCGCTCCAGTTTGGGGGTAATGTCTGGTAAAGCAATATCTTTAGTATCATCTTTATCTAGTAAGTAGCGAAGTAGTGCATTTTCTTTCTTCTTGGGACTCACTGGTTCCTGTTTAACAGTCACCTCTGAACCAGGAGCTGTGCTACCAGTCTCCTGGCTCAGTTCTTTGCCTGTGGCCTCCGCTGTGAGCTTGGCCAAGTCTACAGGAGAACTACTGTCCTGTAAGAGCCTGTGCAAAATTTTATGCTTCTCCTTGAGCGAGGTTCCATGTGCTGAACCAGAACCAGATAAACCTCCCATAGAGTCTTTGTTAGCATCTCCCATAGTATTAGACAAAGGTGAAGGCTCCATCTGATCAGATTTGGTGGTCAGCAGCTGTAAGAGCTTTGTCTGGCTTTTGCCATCATGCAGTCTGTTCTGTCCATCAGGCCTTTCACCACTGACAACCTGGGGCATGTTATCGTTATTTTCTTTCTGTTCTCCTGAATGGCAGACACTCTCTGCTTGTCCAGTTGTACCTTCTGATTGTTCCCCATGAAGTCCAAAGCCATCTTTAGAGTCCAGGCTTCCCATTTTGCTTAGCTGGGGAGGATTCATGCTCACAGGGGAATTTTGTAAATTGCCCATTTTTACATCAGGTGAAGCCAATGATGACCCTAGAGAGACTCCATGCCCCTCACTGAGAGCCTGAAGTGCATTGAGGGAACTGTTGGTATAACTATGGCTATTTCCTGTGCTGCTGCAAACCCCAACAGGTGAATGCAAGCTTCCTGCAGGAGAAAACTGACTGGGTGGGATCCGAGGACTTCCTGCCACTCCAGGACTCACGCGATGCCTTGGGGAAAGCATAGAGTTTGGCTGACCTGGTGTCATGCCAGGGCTGTTTTGAGAAGGACTATTCATTTTTAGTGCATAGTTACTACCCTGAGGAGTGGATGCTTGTATACTTGACACATGGTTCATCCCACCTGAACCACCAAATCTGCTCGCTGGCATGCCCATTTGTTCCTTCGGGCCATTTATGGCAAAATTCATATTGCTACTGATGGTCATATCCTGACCTGGATTCCCACTGCACATGGCCTGATGGGCAGGGCTGCTAGAGCTAATTGGGTTCAATGGCTTTCCCATTGTTTGTCCAGTTAATTCCTGGTTCATTCCACAGACATTCTGTTCCCTGTGATATGAAAAAACATAATCACATACACATGCACTTGATAAAGGAAATTGCAAAATGTAAGTTCAATTACAATACACAAAATCAGCATAGGACCTACTATACCTACAACTTGGGTGTGCAATAACACCTATATTGTTCAAAAAGGGAAACAAATAAAAGGTGGGAAACACTCAATTGCCTTTTTTTGACAAAGATCACTGGGTGCTACAAGTATCTGCTGTTGAGCGTCACTACATAGGGAAAGCTGGAGTTTAGAGTTCTGATGTTATGGCCTGCGCTTATCCAGGGAGCAACTGGTTATTCCGTAGGTACATAGTTTTACAGCTGCAAGCTCCGTGCATTTTCAGAACATCCTTCAGTTAGGAGTGCTGTGTTTTCTTTTCCATGCAACAATACTCAAGAGCAGACACTTACAGTCTCAGCAAATTATTTTATGTCACCACATTTTTGGCTTTAAGAAAGTCAAACTGACCAGCATTGTGCTACATCAGCAACAGGTAATGCTTGGTTCTTGTGTTGTTGTTTTTCTAACAAACCATCTCGAGAACCTATGGTCAGTCTGTCGTAAGATTGTTTTACCTATGCTACATTGGCAAATTATATGAACCTAGATGCTCATCCCCATTGTGGGTTGTGGAGCAAATGAGCTACTAGGAAAAGCATCAAAAAATTCCTTGCCACTTTGTCAAATGCTGCAATTTCAGCTATTTTTTAGAATGCACATATTTTGGTCTCCAAAAAACAACAACAAACATCACTAAGCCATTCAGAGTCCCCCCAGTGTACTGCTTGGGCACTAGACAGGCTGTCAGTAGCTGTCAAAATGGAGATTGTAAAAGCAATCTTCCAAAAAAATAAAAAAATACCGGTGGAAAAACCACAGCAAATCAAAATGGCTTCTGAGCAGGGAGGGAAGAGCATCTTGACCCACAAAATACCCAAAATTCTGGCTGGCAGACTGAGGGGTAAGAAGGAGGTGACAACCCAGGGGATAAGCCCAAATGTTGTTAGGCACACTGGGTTGTGCTCACAACAATCAAACCGTTGTGCTTTATTACCACAGTGAGTTGGCGTAATGTGCACATCAATCTATTAACTTTCACATGGATCCTGAATGAATCTCCAGCTGTCAATGGAACCCATGTTTTCCAGGCTCATATTTACTATGTTTCTGCCTGAATAGCTATTGTAACATTGCATACACTAGACAGAAAATTCCAGTTAGATATAGATATCTGCAACATATATGTAAAATGTATTATAAATCTAATATTTCACAATGCATTAAAAGTAAGGCAAATCCACTCTCCTACCTGAAAAATTAACAGATATTTGCTGACATTTTTGAATGCATAGAAACACATCCTTTCCAGCCCTGAAAACTGCTCTCCTAACAAGGCTTACAGTCAGAAAGCAGAGTTTTTAAAGTCACCTCAAAGAACAGTCCTTTCCCCCTTACAACATTTTCTAAGTATTGGAGCCAAACGAAACCTACGGCAAACAAGTTCAGAATGACATCAGCCTAGTTAGGGAAGAGTTTTGTGTGTGCACAAGCTGAAGCATGCATATTGGAGAAAGGGATGGAATGAAAAAGAGTAGAGATGAAGCATTTCTACACGACCCATGCACCCAACCATATTCTATCCTTTGTGGAATAATTCTGTAAGTAGCAGCATGATCTTACTATGTTTACAATAGACAATTTGAGGAAAGGAAGGGAAAAGATTACTATTTTATGGAAAGATAGCTGTATTGCTAGTGCTGCTCCAGGTTTTTTTTTAACAGAGCTCTTTAATGTGTGCTGTAGAATGTAGCTTCCCAAAACTCTGCAGAATGGGGAAAACAGCCTACTACAAGGGCTTCTGGTCATGTGGAAATAGATAATAGGTATATATTAGATCTGGGAAGACAACTATACCTCTACTGCAAGGAACTGCTGGACAAACTTATGCTTTCCACTGCCCAGGGGTTTTGTTTGTATGTTTGTACTCTGTGATATGTGCATCTCTCTCTAGCATAACCAGCATATAAAGAAGAGGATGCCTTTCACTATATTTTTTTTACCATCAGAGTCTTTCAGTAGGTGCAAGGCTGGAAGACTGAGTTGATAATGCAAAACAGCTTATTGTGGGGATACATGGAAAGAACCCAACCTTGCCTATAGTGAAAAGTTTTTCCAAAAGGCCTATGCTTTCCTGCATAGCCTCATCACCACATATAGCACATGTAATAGATGATGGCAGCCCTTAATACGTGGAGAACTATATTCTGCCCAGTAGAATCTGGGGATCACATTTTTCAGGAAGAAGCTATGCTGTTTGAGGATAAAAAGTAGCATCACTCCAAGAAAATTAAAGGAAGATGAGTACAAGACATCTCTTTGAAGGCTATCCAAATTTAGTTCTCCTTGCAGATTTATTCAGGCACACAAGGTTTTTATTCTGTCATAAAATTAGAATCAGTAGTCAGTTCTTTTTTCAAGGCTTAAACTGGGGGGGCTTTTCTCTACCCCCACCCAAGTTTCTGAACAAATCAAAAGCTTTCAGAATGGAATACTGAAGGAAAAGCACTTTATGAAGTACATTTAATAGCATTTTTGGCACTGATTTAGACATTCCTTTGCAATGTTTGCACTGTAAGTTCTGCAGCTGAAACATTTAAACTTTGCCCTGTTAGTGGCATGGGAACTAGAAGAAAAGTTGAGGCAAAAGAGAAATTATCCAGTCAATTCTTGTTAGCAAGAGATGAGTGAACTGAAAGGAGAAATTATGTAAAACACACACAGAGATTCATGCTAATATCCTGTTTCTCAGATTGTGTGGTAGCTGGTAAAAACTAGACTTTCTTATGAATACATAACTTGTCACCTGGCATTTCTTGTTTAACTTGCTGTCTCATCAGCCACCCAAGAAATAGCAAAGAAGCCTCCTAATTCCAACAAAACAGTTTCAAATTGTCAAATGCTAGTTTTTTCTTTGATGGGAGTCAAGGGAATTGTTGCACAAGTGTTTCAGTCCTATGCTGTCAGCAGATAATCAAGAAGCCATGAAAGCACATTTTTATTAAAATCTATCCATGATCATACAATAACCGTGACACAAACATACACTTACTTTTAATGATACAATAAAATACTTTTCTTTAGTTTTTGTTTTAACTCAAGGAAGGTGCCATTTCAGCCTATCCACATACTATGTGTCCTTGCCTCCCATATACCAAATCTCTTTTTGGAAGAGTGAAGCCATTTTAACTCTCCAGGAGACAGGTATCTGGAATTACAATGAGTGTTTGCACATTTAGGACAGAGCTGGCATTGCCATATCAGTTCTCTTAACTGTTCCAGATTTCCAAAATGCAGCTCCCCTTGGCCTTTCCCAAGGTTATAGAAAAGAGTCAGTGCTAGAGAGGCAACATTTATGAAAATAATTTTGGTATATGGAAGGAAGGTCAAAAGATACTAACTTTCTTATACGAAGTATTACTAATTCATCTTCTGTAGACTACACATTCAAGATAAATACTTATGGCCAGGATAGAAAACAGATCTCAAAGTGAAAAAACAGCTTTTAACTGCAGTCCTAAATTAGTTGGGCTACAGTTCCATTCATACAGCTGAGATATGTTTCCAAATCACTGAGGTCTGAGAGATGTGTGTTTCTTTAGAAAACAGAAGCAGTTAAAATAAAAACTCTCATTTATTTTATAGTCATATCAAAGCCAACACAGCTCAAAAGGGCCATCAGCTTAGAACAATACTCTTTCTGCAGCTGTTCATAGAAAGTGGAAATGAAGATTTTTCAGGATAACAAATTCTTATAAATTACCTGTGAAGCATATGCAAGGATATTACAAGCTGAGGTTCACAAGTAGTCTGAGAACGGATGAGCTTGCTCTTCGTTTGGGCAGCAACTATAGTGCCATCAGACAAAGAAAATCGATAGACAGGACTGAATGCTAGTCCCTGCCTCAGCACTGAAAGCAAGCACAAACAAGAAAATAGTAGTAAGGAACCCACACTGCTGCAGGAATATTCACATGAAAGCCTGGACTCTGTCCATTAACATCGTCTTCCTAAGAAAGCAAGAAAAATCTGCTATTCCTTTTGCAAAATCAGCAAGGCTGTGTTAAAGAAAAAGCTAATGTTTGGCAGATTTAAGACCAAAGTGCAAGCACAGTAAAGTATTAACAGAGACAGAGAGAGAGAGAGGGAATGAGAAAGAGAGAGAGAATGAGAGAGAGAGAGAGAGAGAGAGAGAGAGAGAGAGAGAGAGAGAGAGAGAACGCAAGCATGCCAGCATTGGCAAAACTGGGCATTTACCTGTAGATTTTCTTTTGATACTGTCTGTGCACAATCATCAGATACAGGAAGGATTTCCACCCACCCCAAACAGCAATTTAAAATTAATTAGCCTGGCACAATACTAGCTGTAGCTTCCAGATGATGAGTGCAAAGCACACTAACCTATTCTGCTTCCAAAAACAAACCAGCACTGTCAAAGACACCAACACCAAGATAAAAGAAATTAACCAACAGCAGACCTTGATTCAATAGATGGATTAGGATCCCCAGGGATGGGACACTTTTCCTGAACACATGCCAACCTCAGCCTTGACATGAGCAGGAAAAGTTGGTTGTTCTGTCTGCATCTCAATCAGGCACTCCAAATGAGCTATAGGCAGTCATTTGAATGGAAGGTGCTTAAAATAATATAGAGGGAACTGGATTTTCCCCTATCCTAAGCACAGTACAGGGAAATCTAAGCATCATGCTTATGTCCAAAGACTAACAGATTCAAATTAAGATGCTTAAAATTAAGAGCGTTTGCTCATTTGCAACAACCAACTTCCTATGCTAGGTGTATGAATGCATTCTGGAAAGATAGTGAGATACAGCATAGATAAATATAAAGAGATCTTTGCCACGTTGTTCCCCATTCAAAGCTCACACTGACTGTGATTCCACTGAGCGGTGCTTGGCAAGGCATTACCCGCAGTTCTCATGCATGGATGAAACCTGTTTGCATGTAATAACAAATACTTTATGAATCAGGTCACTGTCTCTCAGCCTCAGTGTCCTACCCACACACCTATGAGATGGTGATCATCACTGGTTATCCTATAAAATAAGATGACATTTAGGAATAAGGGATAAATCAGGGACGGACAACTTGTTGCCCTGTAGATTCTTTGGCCTTCAAGCCCCATCAGTCCTAGCCAGAACAGCAAAAAATAGCCAGAGGAACACAAGTTGCTCATTCTTGGTCAACACAGTAAGAATGTTCCCTTTGCTCAGCACCTTCCACTCTTATGTTCACACAATCTCCTTCTTAGTGTTACATTTGGATTTATGTTCATCATGGTTCATTTCTAGCCCAGGATTTGAAAACCGATTTCATGGTTGCTTACAAATGCTGGATTAGGGATGAACCTTGCCTAGCATTAACCATGCTTGGTGTTGATGCAAACGTGTTTTTGAGCAATGGTTAAGGAAAGTAAGGAAAGGCTGGGGAAATCCAGGATGGGACAGAAGAGAGGCACAATCCTCATGGCACTCTCCCAATCATGCATAAAAGGCTGTGTTCTCTGTATTAGCCTTAAGAGGCAAAGCAAATGACTCTTTTAAATATAATACAAAAATATGGTTTGGCTTTACATGTACAAACAGGCTTGAACCTTGCCAGCTCCTGCTCCTCCCTCTGGCATTATACTTCTTTAACTCACTTGCAGGTACTCCAAAAAACACCCTTTGTTACAGTGGCCCAATTATGATTTGCTGAAGCCACAACTTGCTCACAAACCAAAATCAAACCTGGAGAATCAAAAGCCCAAAAGGCTACTAAAACTGGTTATTTTGAATTTCAGTTTGATGTTTTCTTCACTGTGAAACTTTATGAACTAGTTTTAATCGTAATTTTCCTGCACTGACTCAAAACGTCTTGCTTATGGCAGGGTTATCCAGTGAAAACATATTTTTGCCCTGCTCTTTCCTACCTGCAAATTCTGAAGGCATTCCAAAATGTTTATGTCAGGTAAAAAAATGTTATTTTAACGATTTGTTTTCCACATCCTTATTTCCTCTGATGCAAAAACACCCATTTTTATTGCTGATCTAGGACCTGCTTGCAGTTTTCCTGTATCAATCATGCAGCCTATCCAGTGACATTCAGATGCTGACAATGCCAGACTGGCTTCCCCACCCCCTCCTCCAGACTTGCGACACTGGTATGGTAGGATTCTTTCCCTGTTTCTGTCTTCAAGTTGTACTAGCATGAAAGACACTTAAAAATTATTATTTTGGCAGAAGGAAAACAGGACGCACACATTAAACCACCAGAGGAGTTTATGAAGAGTTAAGAATGTGAAGAAAAGCAAAGCCTACGTTAACTATGCAATAATATAAAGTAAAATTTCAGACTGAAGGTATGTCATTCTTTCAGTCTAACCTTTGGGCAGAACTCTCTGCAGAAATAATCCTTTTAGTATAAAGCAGGAAATTCCAGCATTCCCTTGTCAACAGCATTGATGTAAGATCACTAAAGTTAAGCCATTTGCAAAACTGGAGGAGTTTCACTCCACTACCATAGCCTTTGTGTGTGTGTGTGTGTGCGCGCGCGCATGCATGGGTGTATTTAAATGCTTTTCTATTCTAACAAATTATTTCTATTTAACGTTATAGCTTGCAAAGTTTAAAAATGTAATCAAAAATAAATAAAATAAAATAAAATCATACATAAATATTAAAAAGACATAAGGCAAACATTTAGATTTGATCTGGGAAAAATTTGTTCAGACTCTGGGTTATGAGGTGAACTAGTCCACCTGCCCTGTTTATGCTTAGACAAGTCCTGCTTGGGACTGCTGTTCTAGGATTCATTTAAAAGCAAGAGGAAAACAAAATACTTACATTAGATTCCCAGAACTTTACTTGGCATTTCATACATTGGGCACTGGAAGTCATATTTCAGAGGACTTTTCAAACTCCTGTTCTCTGGCACAGACCCAAGGTTAGTTACTTCCTGTCCACTATCTTTCTTACTTATCCGAGTGTCCAAAGTTAGATGTCTAATGACTATGCACACTTCAGCCTCAGTTTAATATAAACCTGACTTGCAGAGAGTTCACGGCAGTAGAGCTCACTGAAATTTCATCTGCATGCCATGTTAAATCAGAAAAGGCACACATTTTCTTCATTTGATATAGAGCTGAAACACATAAGGATCCTGGAGTATTAACATCCCAGAGTATGCAGTATACTGTAGCAGGAAAGATTCTAATAAGATGGAAGGAAGAAAAGTTTCCCCTCAAATTTATGCCACAATTCGAAGAGCCCTCATACATGTGCAAACCAGGACTTTCATCTGCATCAACACCATGTGGCTTGTTAAACACAGCTTTAAAGTTAAAGTTGCTTTAAATTTGCGGGGGCTGCTCCAGCATCAGAACATTACTCTAATTAAAGGAAAGCAAAACCTCATGAACCTCACTATCCCATGCAGACCCCACTTTGACAACAACACATTCTTCCTGCACAGTTTTAAAGAAACAACCAAAAATTTAATATAGAATTTTTGTGAATTAAAGTTCCAGCCTTTAGTACAATCTATAACCAACATGGCACAATTTATTTTTCCTTTTAAAAGTTCTGTTGATTATGCCTTCTTTAACAAAATCATGGACAGCACCAGTTATCACATTAAAGTGTGAGTATCTTATAGAATTTGAAACTCAACATTAAAAAAAGTGAGATCATGGCATTTGGTCCTATCACTTCCTGGCAAATAGATGGGGAAGAAATGGAAGTAGTGACAGATTTTATTTTCCTGGGCTCCAAGATCACTGCACACAGGGACTACAGCCAAGAAATTAAAAGACGCTTGCTCCTGGGGAGGAAAGCTATGGCAAATCTAGATAGCATACCAAAAAGCAGAGACATCACCCTGCTGACAAAAGTGCATATAGTCAAGGCTATGGTATTCCCAGTTGCAAGGCAGAGTGTCGAAAAATTGAGGCCTTTAAATTGTGGTGCTGGAGAAGACTCCTCGAGTCCCTTGGACTGCAAGGAGATCAAACCAGTCAGTCTTAGAGGAGATCAACCCTGACTGCTCTTTAGAAGGCCAGATACTGAAGATGAAACTCAAAAACTTTGTCCACCTAATGAGAAGGAAGGACTCCCTGGAGAAGAACCTAATACTGGGAAAGAAGAAGGGGATGGCAGAGATTGAGGTGGCTAGATGGAGTCACTGAAGCAGTCCGTGTGAACTTAAGTGGACTCCGGGGGATGGTGGAGGACAGGAAGGCCTGGAGGAGTGTTGTCCATGGGGTCGCGATGGATTGGACGCGACTTCACAACTAACAACAACAACAAATCTTATACAATAACCCAAACAGTTCACTGTGGAAACCCAGAAAATTAAAGAGTCCTCCAGAGAAGAGGACAGATCTTACAAGGTCCTTTAATTAAGGTCAATAAATATGCTTGCACTTTCCATATATTTCTGGGAAAATCATTATAGGATATTTCATTAACTGCAGCATAGCAGACAAATGCCTTTCTTAGGAAATACACAGTAAGGAAGAACCCTCCAGTTCATACATGCTATTTTAAACATGTATGCCACATGTATACTTTGAATAGCAAATATAAAGAAGATTCTACTATACTTCCGCTTGTCAAGTGCCTAACTTAGTAATTAATAGTTAGGAGTTACCAGTATACTTGGTACATGTGCATCCGCAAGTGACTGAAGGTTAGAAATCTTTTAGACTTTAGACCAATGGATTCTTTTAAGACAAATCTATAGCTATGGTCTGGTCCAAAACTGCCCTCTGGGAGTTGAAACAAATAATTCAGCAGCACTATTGGACTGTGGCAGGAAAAGCATGCCTTTGGTGATTCAAAGATGGTACTCTCCCTAAATTTGTATTTTGGTTGATTAGCTATCATTCCTTTCTACTTCAGTTGTGGGTTCTGT